CCCACCACTGAATCATAGATCTGGAAGGAATTTTGGAAGTATTCTAGTTTAACTATCCTGCTCAAGGAGATCTTATATCCGTGCCCCCACTTTTGGGGCACCAGGGACCGGTTCTGTGTAGTGCACTTTTTCTCCAGACTGGAGGGCGGGGGCTGGTTCCACGCACTTTCTGAATCCTGTATGTGTGTTGATGGGGCTTCGTTTGCTTGCTGACACAGTTCCAGGTGGGTCATGGACTGGTGCTGGTCTGTGGCCCAGGGGTCCAGGACTCCTTTCTTATACCAACCCAATAAAATGTCTGTCAAGTCTGTTTTAAAAACCTCCAGCAATGGAGCACCCTGTTGTGGCCTGCAGAGCTGGCAGCAGAGTCAGACAGTGAGGAAGTTGGGGGGGAACATGGGCCAGTCCTGGGGGCTGAGGAAAGCTCAGACAAGGGCTCTGTGTCAGAGGCAGAGAAGGAGCTAGGCAGCAGTGAGACAGAGGAACAGCTGGAGCCTGTTCCCAGTGTGTGCATGCACAGAGCTGCCAGAAGACAAGAACAATTAAGAAAGCAGGGTTGACTCAAGAGTAAAGCCAGATCTTGGACGTGATTGGCCCCTCCCATAGGAAACAAAAGTGGAGCGAACTGGGATTGAGCTTTTTCAGGAAACAATATATTCATTCAGTCATGTCAGGAGGGGAAAGTTCTGTTTGTAACTATAAGAGACTCTGTGCCAAGTTTTGCTTTGCCCTATATTTGGAAACTAGTTATTTGGCAGCTCGTCAAGCAAGATAAGGTTCGTATTTGATAAACAGCCCTCTGAAAGACTGTTTGCTAAGCCTTATGGACTGTCAATGAAAGGCATTCATAGTTGTGTAAATAAAAGGGGTTTTGTCGGGACCAAGACTTTGCTTCTTGTGGAGCTATCAAGCAGGCATTACTCCACTAACCTTTGGTGACCCCCTACGTTATTCAACTATAGTTGTGCTGCTATGGCCTCCATGATATCTGGGTGATGTCAGAAGTTAGTAGTGTCCATGTAATGAACTGAACTGAAATGGGATGCAAGGAACCTTACCAGGCACCATTCCTGCAAGAGTTGAGGTTGGGTAACTGCCTTGTCCGGTTGGTGGAACATGTGGTGGGTAGCCAGGCAAAGTTGTGCTCGCCATGTCACGACCTAGGAAGAAAAAAGGAGGGAGAACTTATTTCAATGTGGTTGCTCGAGATGATGAGTCTGAAGCAGGGTTTCCAAGTGATGACACCCATTCAAGAAAGAAACATGCATTGGGCTAAAAAATTTGGCCATAATATTCAGCTGGAAGATTGGGGAAGGATAGAAATAAGCAAAACATAGCCATAAACCCATAAAAAGAGTACATGTACAGAGTACAGAGCCNCTACCCAGCTGGTCATTAGGGCAGAGAACCGGTTGTTATATTATTTGAATCCCACCACTGCATTGCTCCATGGGAGTCTGACAACAAATCAGGATACATTTCTTGCCACAGGAACAGGAAGTTCAAAGCCCAACAGAGTGTATAAATCTCTCTCCCTCTCTCACCCATGTGCTCTTTTCAAACCATGTGGTCCTGTCCCAGTGGTGTGTTCCTACCGGTTCGGGCCGGTTTGGCCGAACTGGTAGGGGTTTGGCAGCCTACAGCGATGCCTGGAGAACCTCCAAACCAGTTCTCCAGGCATTGCTGTGGGCACCATCTTGTTTTATGCTTCTGCGTATGCTCAGAACAATCTGTATTGTACTGCTCATGCGGACATGGCACGCCCACAAGCGAACCAGCAGTAGTGACTGCCGGAACCCATCCCTGCCCTGTCCACCATTAAACCATTTTTCCAAGCAGTCTCCATGTTTCCAATGTCTTTCTTACCACTTGGAACTGAACCTAGATGGACATTTCTTCCAACACATTAATGTAACAAAGAGTTTTCAGGTGCAATTCCCTTTGGGATTTGTGTTCAGAATCCTCTAAGAAAGATTGCTAATAAAGACCACAGCACATCTAGGGGCAAATTGCAGCCAGCAAAGTGGGCAGTTGCAAAAGCTTTCTCATTTCAAGGTAGTTGAATGTAAGTAGAACTTCCAATAAGAAAGCAACAGGCTTTTCCCCAATAAAGGTCAGGTGGAAGATTCTTTACAAGGCCGGTTTATATAAAAGGGGGCTTAAATGTTTCCTTTATTTTTCTATATTGTCACTCAATTTGTTTCTACATTTATTCTGAAGTGCCGGTTAAGTAAAGAACTTCTCACTCACTCTTCCTCTCTCTCTCTCTCAGACCAGTCAAGGGAAGGCAGAAGCACCATATGTGCACAATGTTTATTGACAAGGAGTTAAAGGAAACGAGCTGCAGGATAATGAGCTTTTGAGCTCAATTGCGGACCGAGAGGAACCAGTTATCTCGTTTTGTGATCACTAATGAAACATGTAATTTTCTCATCAATGCTAGATTCTGTTTAACTGCTCTCTTTGGAGAAGGCTAGAGCTGTGACCGGTTCACAGCAGTCCTAAGAGCTTTTCAGTTGAAGCTCAAAATGCTCCAGAAAAAATAATGCCCCAGAGGAAGAAATGAGGAAAGGCCAGTTTCCCTAGGATAACTGAACATTGCAGGCCTGCTCACTGAGTCACTAATCTCATTAGCAATAATGCAAAAACAGGCTTTATACAAGAATTCCAGAACCATATTTTTCAGAGTTTAAGACGTACCTTTCCCCCGCCCAAAAAGAGGGTGAAAATCTGGGTGCATCTTATACACTGAATACAGCATTTTTGGCCTCCCAAAACTCCGTCCCCTTCACAAAAATGGACTGCAGAGGGTTTGGGAGGCCTGCAAAACGCTCCTGGGGGGTGGGGAAGGGCAAAAATGAGCGAAAAATGGGCAGTTTTTCGCTTGTTTTTCCCCCTCCAGCCCCAGGAGCACTCTACAAACCTCCTGAAGGCTATGCATGCCCTTTTGCGGCAAAAAATGGGCCCATTTTTGTGGAAAATGGCCCATTTTTTGCTCATTTTTGCTCCCCCCTGAACACTTTGCAGGCCTCTGAAACTCTCTGCATGCCCTGTTTTTCACAAAAAAATGAGGCATTCAGAGGGTTTGAGAGGCCTGCAGAGTGCAAAAACTTTTTTTAAATTTATCTCTTCAAAATCTTGTTGCGTTTTATATTTCAGTGCATCTTATACTCTGAAAAATATGGTATCTATAAGCCAAGAGACTTAGAATCATAGTAGAGGTGGTATTCAGCCATTCTTGACAGATTCTGGAGAATTAGGATCTGAAATTTTGAGTAGTTTGGAGAACTGGCAAATAGGCTGGCCCTGCTGTCTCCCAGCTGACCTACTTTTTTTGAAAAAGTTTTTTATTTTATTTTATATAACCATCAGTACACCATTACATCTGAACATTTTTTTTGTATTGTCAATGATTATATCATTCCCTCAATTCAGAACCGCTGTCATTTGCTCTTCTGCTTTCATTACACTATATTATGCCCTATTTCACCATCATGCTGTCCTCTCTCTCTCTCCTCCTCCCTACCTCCTTTTTTCCCTCTGCCATCCCTCTCTTCTCTACTTCCCCTTCCTTTCTATTTCTCCTCTTTCCACTCCTTTTTCCACTCCTACTTCTCCTCTCCCTTCTTTTTCTCTCTCTCCTGTCTCCTCTCTTTCTCCTTACCTCTACCTTTCCTTTCCACTCTCTCCAATTAATTTGCATGGTGTAGTTCAGCATCTGAGCACATTTCATTTAATATTTGCTAGTATTGATAATTACATTCCAATAAACATCTTTCATATTTATAATTTTACAGACATCCTCTTTTTAGTGGTAAACATATTTCAAAATTCCAGCTGATCTTCTTTTTTTGTCCTGAACAGGAGAACGGAGCTGAAAAGCAGGTTAGGAGGGTGGGGAGGGAATGGGGATTTTGCAGTATCCTTCCCCTGCCACGCCTACCAAGCCATGCCCACAGAACCGGTAGTAAAATTTTTTGAATCCCACCACTGAATCATAGATCTGGAAGGAATTTTGGAAGTATTCTAGTTTAACTATCCTGCTCAAGGAGATCTTATATCCGTGCCCCCACTTTTGGGGCACCAGGGACCGGTTCTGTGTA